GCTGGGTGCTGGCAGGCTTGCACCTGGCACGGGCACCGTAGCCAGCCCGTGCCCCTTTAAGGGGTCCAGGGCCGGGAGGGGGGCATAGAGTTTCCCTGGTGTTGGCCAGAGTGGCCACCAGGGGAACCTGGGGAGGGCTAGCCTCCCACTAGTTCGAATTAAGGGTCTACACACCCCTTAATTCGAACTAGCTAGTTCGAACTAGGCTTAATCCTCGTAAAATGAGGTTTACCTAGTTCGAACTAAGCGCTCCGCAATGTTAGTTCGAACTAACGTCCGTTAGTTCGAACTAACATTGTAGTGTAGACATACCCTCGATGTGGATCAGTCGACAAGGGAAGCCTTTGTCGACCGCTCCTGTAAACCTTGTTTCACGAGGCGTAAGGGAGCGGTCGACAAAGGCTTCTCTTGTCGACCGATCCGCGTCTAGACTTCCGCGCAGTGCCGGATCAGCTGATCATCGGCACAGCATGGTGGCCATTTTTATTTTAATGAAGTGGGGATTATTTAAATCCCCACTTCATTGACTATGTCGGGTAAACTAGTTTACATGTCTCCGTCAACAGAGCCATGTAGTCTAGACATACCCTAAGGGGCTGCAGGACTACGCACTGTTTTTTAAGTTCTTTTCCAGTTACAGACTAAAGCAGCTACTCCTCTGAAACATCTGGTTTACAGTTTAACTCCCTCAGGGGCATGCAGTAATTGTGAAACAGTCACCAAGTACACACATGCACACTTTGTTCAGTCTACCAAATTGATGCTCTTTGCTTAATGGACGAATCACAGGAGGGTACCACGCAATAAAACATGTTAAACATAATACCCCTCCCACAAACCTCACCCTTCCTTTGGGAGTCCTTGAGAGATCTATTGTGTTCTGTCAGTCAGGCAGGTCAGTCATCCAGACCATTGTTGTCCTACTTTTGCAGCAACCTCTCTCATTCTACTTTGCTGCAAAAAGACTGTCTTCTCCTCTTCCTCCCTGTGCTGTTCCTTTGGATTCCTGCAGGGTCAGCTGCGTCTTTTGTTCTGCTTTCTGGTAATCTTCCATTATTCCCAAACCCGCTCCCTTCAGACACGAGCAGAAAGCCTCCTCTCCCATGGAGTGCAAACCTATTGCCAAGGTGCTTTATTTTGAGTGCTGATCATTCACCATTGTGTCTGGCCTAGCAGAGAAACATGCCAGAGCCCTGCTAGCTCTTGGGGGATCTACATCTATACAGGCTTTCCATGACACAGCAATTTCAAAGTACACTTCCATAAAGTCATCCACAACTCAGAAGTGGTACAAACAGACACTCCCTCCATTTATCACACCAACATACCTCTCTTTTCTTGGTGGTAACAATGAGTTCCAAGAGAGACTGGTCATCTCCCCATGAGTCAATCTCTGTGAGATCATACAAGGTAGAGACCAGGGGGCCGAAGGTCCACTGGATGTGCTTTCTCTTCTGCATAAGGTGCTGGAACATCTAATTGGCAAGAAGGTCAGTGCTGTACTCATAAGAGTCTGTATATATTTGCCCAAATCTACACCAATATCCCATCTGTACCCCTGCTTCAAACTCAGCTCTGAAAACATTTGTCTACAGAAGCCTTTCAGACAGGGAGGTGGACTGTGATTTTATTTGTTCTTAAGCCAAGCAAATTTGGATCGGGTCAGAACTCAGATGGAACACGTATGTGCAATAGGAGTTACTGGTTCAGTAGGGGGTGCTCTCCTTTCCCCACCACAGCGTTAAATGCCTTTCTGCCAGTGACTCAATAGGGGATGCTTTTCTATGTTACTGCCTCAGCCTGGTGCTATGGTGCTGGTGAGACAGGAAGTAGTGGTCTTCTCTCTGAATCAGCACTGAACCAGTCCTCCAGCATTTTCCACTGGACTCACAGTAGAAAAACATTACACCTCCCCTGCAGTCACTCTCCTGTAGTGTTACTGAAACAGAACAGTTGCTATATGCCTCCCCAAAGGCAGCTGCACTCTGGTGGGTGAGTGAACCCTAAAAGTGATATCTGGAAAGTGCTTTAGGACCTTCAGATGGTGATGTGCCTCAGTGACATCAAAACCCATGGCAGCCAAATACTGCGCACAAACTCACCACAGTGTTGCCCTCAACTCCAGCTAGCTTGAATGCAGTGAGCCCCTCATTGTTAGGGATTAAGTCCAGGGCGCCCAGCTCACTTTCGCTCTTGTCATGGGAGAGAAGGAAGTTGTACATCTGGCAGGCAATGGTCTTGTTGGGCTGGAGAACCAGGATGTGCAGAACCGTGTTCCCTGTAGTGGAGACAGTGGGATGAAATAATTGGTACAATGGGAAACACAAATCACCTCCCAAACCTGATAGACTCTCAGGCTTCTTCTACATTGGCACGATTTTGCACAAAAGCAGCCACTTTTGTGCAAAATCTTGCCACCTGTCTACACTGGCTGCGAGTACTTGCACAAGAACACTGATGTTCTAATGTATAAAATCAGTGCTTCTTGCGCAAATACTCTGATGCTCCTGCTCAGGGATAAGCCCTCTTGCGCAATTGTTCTTGCATTAGAGTATTTCTTGCGTAACATCAATTTCTTGCGCAAGAAAGCCTGATGTTTAAAATGGCCATCAGAGCTTTCTTGCGCAAGAGAGCGTCTACACTGGCACCAATGCTCTCGCGCAAAAGCACATCTCTTGCGCAAAAGCACATGCCAGTGTAGACGCTCTCTTACTCAAATACTCTAATGCAAAAACTCTTGCGTTAAAGAGTATTTGCGCAAAATTTTGTCAATACAGACACAGCCCCAGATAGTTACTATATAGACCTTGCTCAACTTCTATATGAGAGAGTTCTCCTGTAGGTTGAACCTCTCTAGTCTGGCACCCCTGGGACCTGACTGGTGCCGAACCAGAGAATTTGCTGTACCACAGGAGGTCAGTATTGTTTAGCAGCCTTACCAACACTTCCACTGCTTACTGGGCTCTTAGAAGACATGTAGGGATAAATTAGAGCTAAATATAACAGCACAGAACACTTAGAGCCAGGACTGGTGTCTGTAAACAAACTATGAGACTGTGGGGAACTTGGCCACATCCATGGTAAGTGGACATCCAGCTAACTAGAGAGGTTTAACTGTCATATTCTGTGTGGCTCTGCACCAGGGGTTCTCTGTAGGCCTAGTTTGGACTGTGCTGTTATGAGGGAGGGGGGACTACTGCTGAGTCCATTACACCACCCTATTGCTATGTCCCTTTGTTGCCTTTCACTGGACTATTTTAGTCACATCAGCATCTTTCTTAAAGGAGACAAATTTCAGACTCAGTCCCACAAAGAACAGGGCTATGTAGCACTTTAAAGACTAACAAGATGGTTTATTAGGTGATGAGCTTTCGTGGGCCGGACCCACTTCCTCAGATCAAATAGTGGAAGAAAATTGTCACAACCAAAGGATGTAATTTTTAATTGAATCCTTTGGTTGTGACAATTTTCTTCCACTATTTGATCTGAGGAAGTGGGTCTGGCCCACAAAAGCTCATCACCTAATAAACCATCTTGTTAGGTCTTTAAAGTGCTACATAGTCCTGTTTTTTGTTTCAGCTACACCAGACTAACACGGCTACATTTCTATCACTATCCCACAAAGAAGGCCACTTCATTGGGTACCACGACATCAGGGCCATCCCTGGGGGTGCAGGCTCTGGGACACCACACTCATCCACCCCAGGCCCTGCCTGCTCCACTGCCACCCCATCCCTGCTCAGACCCTTCTCCCAATCTCCCTTCCCAGAGCTTTGAGTGTTGGGGATCGGCAGAGAGCCTGGTGCTGGCATTTGCCCCCACTCTCACCAGCAGTGATGGTAAGGAGAGTGACCCAGCACCAGTCAGCTCCACTTCCCACCTCCTGAGAGTTCAGGGGCCAGTTCCACCCCTTCCTCCACACCCCTTCCTCCCCAAGAGATGTGGTGTGGAGCCAGGGGAGCAGAGCAGGCTAAGGCCAGGTCACTCTGCTGCTGGCACCAGGTCCCCCCATTAATCCCCCAGGCTGCCTTGGCCCTGCAGGTCCCCCCAAAGTGTAGGGCCTTGGACAGTTGCCCCAAACCATCCAATGGATGGCTCTGCACACCATTCCCACAGTACCCTTTCTGAAAGAGGACATTGAATAGCTCTTACCCAAAGTGTCTTGTGCTCTGATGTTGGCTCCATGTTTGATGAGCAACCGGACGATTGCCTCACTTCCTGCACAGGCTGCAAAGGATAAGATATGCTCCCCTAGAGAGAAAAGTATGGAATACATCATATAGAGTTAGAGAGAGGAGATACAGAAGAGGAAAGGAAGGAAGAAAATATGTCATTTAGGATATGTCTAGATTACATGCCCCTACCAGACAGTCAATGAAGCTGGGATTTAAATATCCCCAGCATCATTAAAATAAAAATGGCCACCGCGCTGTGCCGGCTCAGCTAATCGTTGGCACAGCGCGGCAGTCTAGACGCAGATCGGTCGACAAGGGAAGCCTTTGTTGACCACTCCCTTATGCCTCATGAAACGAGACATACTGGTACCCCATGCCCTGGATATCTCCCGCTGTGCCGACGATCAGCTGAGCCGGCACAGCAAGGTGGCCATTTTTATTTTAATGAAGCCAGGGATATTTAAATCCTGGCTTCATTGACTATGTCGGGTAGTCTAATTTACATGCCTCTGGCGACAGATGCATATAGTTTAGACATACCCATAGAGTTAGAGACAGAAAACAGAAAGAGAACCACAGAACTAACCACGTCCTGTGCCGACGATCAGCTGAGCCGGCACAGCAAGGTGGCCATTTTTATTTTAATGAAGCCAGGGATATTTAAATCCTGGCTTCATTGACTATGTCGGGTAGTCTAATTTACATGCCTCTGGCGACAGATGCATATAGTTTAGACATACCCATAGAGTTAGAGACAGAAAACAGAAAGAGAACCACAGAACTAACCACGTCCTCCCCTTTACACCCTCCCCACCTTCATGTAAAATTCCCAGGGCTATCCAACAGGAAGTGAAGCAGAGAAACCAGGAAGCACTGATTAGGCAAAGCAAAAGAGATGTATTTGCTGACAAGTGGGACAGTGAATGAGGCAAAGTCTTGAAGGGAAGCTGTTCCATAAAGAAGAAGCCACAAAGGAGAAGGATCCTGTGCTAACAATGTGAAAAAAATGGGACTAGGGAGAGAGAAGGCCTATCTCACACAACTAGAGAGAACAGGAAAGGTCTGGGCTTGGACAAAGAAACTAGCTCTGCAAGGGGCAAATCCACAAAAAAATTAAAACTAAGGAGAATCTGGAATGGATCCTGTTTAGAGCTAGATCTCACAATGAATGGGAAAGCAGTAGAGTAGGATGAGGAGCACTGGTCTGCTCATATATGACAAGACAAGCCAGGGGCATTTTGTATGAGTTGGTGGTTGAAGAGTTAGGATTGAAAAGGGGCCATATAGCAATGACTCAATGCAAGCCATATCTAACCTTGATTTAAAACAAACTCTCTCAACTCTCCTGCTCCAGGAAAACTATGAAACAAAATGATCACAGACGATATTTTCAGATCATCTTTAAGGAGATGTTGAGGGATTACTTAGGAAGAAGGATTAGAATAGTTAAATATTAGTTGTACTGTACAGCAGACAGGCAACAAAGAGCAAAGACTGCATGCAGGGGCGGCCTGAGACGAGCTGCCGGCAACTGGTGCCCCAGGAGGAATGCATGATCAGCGCCCCCGCCTCCGAGACGAGCTGCCGGCCACTGGAGACCTAGGCAGAATGCGCAATCGGCGCCCCCACATCCAAAGCTCTCAACGGTGGTGCGTCATCATTAGGTGCCCTGTTTAACACGGCGCCCTAGGCGACTGCCGAGACTGCCTATATGCATGGGCCTCCCCTGACTGCATGGACACTCTCTCGAAAGAAAGCTCTCATGGCTATTTGAAGAATAGCCATCAGAGCACCTGTGCTTTTTTCAAATGGCTCTTTTTGCGCAAAACCCCTCTGTTGCCCATCCACACACACCTTTTTGCTCAAGAACTCGTAGAAAAAGGAATTCCTACACTACAAAAACCCCTCTGTTCTTCTGATTTACTGTAAATTTACTTGCGCAAGTAAATTTTCCTTAAGTGAAAAATTTTTCCTGACGTAAGTGTTAGTGCAGCCATGGCTTGAGTGAGATCGAAGGAGTGCATCAGTCTTACTGGCTCTCTTCACAAAGGTGAATTTGACACAGAAAGAACAAAAGTTTCCCTATCTAAAGCAAGAACTAAAATTCTCTGACCTTAGTGAAGCATCTCCTGACTTACACACATGTGGACGAGAACAGAATCATATCTGATATATGTTGTTTAGAATGTTTCTATCACACAGGGACATCTGTACCTTTAATTCTGAAGTGCTCTTGTTTTTCCCCCACTCTGGAATTAAATACTAGCCAGGCAGATTTACAAGCAAATACTTAAAAACACTTTGGGACAGAAAGCTCACATATGCTTTGTTTCAGTGAGTGTGGATTTTGATTTAAATAGGAGTAAACTGCATGATTAGTAAAAATGAACCATATTACATGGGTACAGATTTAGATGGTCAGGCATATGTGGGGCCAGTTTCAATGCCATTTTTCAATGCTTGGGGTGCAAGGAGTGTACCAAAAAGATGATTCCCTGCACCCTGGGATGTGTTTCTGTAATGGGCACTATCTATCTATATATACATACACATATACCAAACACCAATGATAGTTATATATAATATTCTATAAGCCCTGGGACTTATATATAATATTCACTATCATTGATGTTTGGTACCTGTCTTGTTCTTTGAGTTCTTTGCTTCTATCCATTCAGTTTACACTGCTTTCACCCTAAAATAACGAAAACAATTCCTACTGTAATTCCTTGGGCCATAACACATCCTTTTACTTAAACAGTCATGTCAGAAAATTGTTGAAGACACAAGGGTAATAGCTTGTTTGGTTTTATTCATATCGCTAGTAATTTCTATGTGGTGGATCACTTTACGAGCCAACAATAACTTTGATTGTGACCCTAGCAGGAGAGTATAAATAAGAAGTGTGGGTACTTTGGATTGTTAAATCAGACTGCATGATGGTGATGTTTTCAATAGTGAGAACTGGGAAAATTCTTTGTTTTCCTAATGACGTAGGCTGCCTTGGAGTAAAACAAACTTGAGTCTGACAGGACACTCCAAAGGACCATGCTGGTATCTTTTTGATTAGTTATCATGAAAAATTGGGTATTTCCAGAAGAGGTCAACCTCTCTATCAGAGTCTTTCACTTGTTTTACATCACCAGGCATGCCTATGATGATTTATTCTCTAACTCCTTTCCCTGCAGCACACAAAGCAGTGTCTGTCTCAAACATGTAACACCTGCAGATGTACTGAGGCCCTTAATCTCACTTTTCAGCTCCCCAAATATTCAGGGTTTTCTGTTAATCTGTACAAAGTTTGTCTTTTTAAAGTTTATATGCTTTAAGCCTTATGATAGCTTGCTGAAGCTAATGTGTTACAGGACACTGACCTGTAGGTTTCTTGCATTACTGCTGAACATAATGCAAAGCAGAATATAATGCAAAGCAGCATATATAATACAGCTGGACTACTGTAACAGTGAATATATCAAAGGCAAACTAGCCCACTGGGCTATGGAACCCCGCCCGCTCTTTGATAGGGTAATTGTTAAAGAAGAGTAAGATGAGTTTCAGAAAGGTAGCTCTGTTAGTCTGTAACTGGAAAAACACACACACCTGAAAAAACAACAAATAGTCCTGTAGTGCCTTAGGGTATGTCTACACTACCCCACTAGTTCGAACTAGCGGGGTAATGTAGGCATACCGCACTTGCAAATGAAGCCCGGGATTTGAATTTCCCGGGCTTCATTTGCATAAGCGGGGAGCCGCCATTTTTAAAACCCCGCTGGTTCGAACCCCGTGCAGCGCGGCTACATGGGGCACGAACAAGGTAGTTCAAACTAATCAGTTCAAACTAGGCTTCCTAGTTCGAACTACCGTTACTCCTCATTCCATGGAAGCCTAGTTCGAACTACCTAGTTCATGCCGGGGAACCCGCCATTTTTAAAACCCCGCTGGTTCGAACCCCGTGCAGCGCGGCTACATGGGGCACGAACAAGGTAGTTCAAACTAATCAGTTCAAACTAGGCTTCCTAGTTCGAACTACCGTTACTCCTCGTGAAATGAGGAGTAACAGTATTTTACTGTGATAATTAAATGTAGTGAGCACCAAACGTGTATCTCTCTGGGTACGTCTACACTACAGCGCTAGTTCGAACTAACTTAGTTCGCATTAGTTAATTCGAACTAAGCTAGTTCGAACTAACGCATCTAGAACTAAAAACTAGTTCGAACTAGCGTTTTGCTAGTTCGAACTAGTAAGTCCACATTGAGTGGACTCTGAACAGGGCTTAAGGATGGCCGGAAGCAGTGCCGGCAGGGCATAAAAGGAGGACTTAGAGCATGGAGATGCTGTCTCAGGCTAGCCGAGGGCTGCGCTTAAAGGGTCCCGACCCCCACCCCGGACACACAGTTCTAAGGGGTGCCCCGCTTGCAAAGAAGTTCTGGCTTGGAGTGCCCTGAGTGCCCACACTGGGCACATCACACCACTCGGCCATCAGCCCGGCTGCACTTGCCGCAGGCTGCCATCTGGGGAGAGGGAGTAATTGGGGGGCTGCAGGAGAGCTTCCACCCCCAGAAGCCCGCAGAGCCAGCCCAGTCCTCCCCATCGGGGGCTCGTACCCCATTCCTCCCTCACCTCCTTCCACTTGCCCTTCCCTAGCCCCCCTTCTTCTTGATGTACAAAATAAAGATAACGTTTCTTCCAACATTGACTCTGTCTTTATTGAACAAAACTGGGGGAGACTGGGAAAAGGAGGTGGGAGAGGGGAAGAGAAAGGCTGGGAGAGGGGAGGGCAACTAACATGATAAGGGGTTGGGAACAGGTCCCAGATGAAGAGAGGCTACAGAGACTGGGACTGTTCAGCTTAGAAAAGAGAAGACGGAGGGGGGACAGAATAGAGGACTCTAAAAGCAGGGGTTGGGTGGAGAGGGTGCATTCAGAAAAGTTCTTCATGAGTTCCCATAAAGAAGGACTAGAGGACACCAAAGGAAAGCAATGGGTAGGAGGCTTGAAACTAGTAAGAGAAAGTTGTTCTTCAGAAAGCAAATAGTCAACCTGTGGAACTCCTTGCTGCAGGAGGCTGTGAAGGC